CTAGGCTGACAGATTAGAACCTAAATCCCCTAAGGTAGGAAGGGCCTGTGAGCTGCCTCCCCTTGCCTGGATCAGGGAAGGAGCGGACAGAACTGGGGGCTCGGCAATGCCCCAGCTCTTGTTCCTTGTCTGTGGATCCCAGGCTTATGCTCAACACCAAGTGATCACTGGGCAGAAGGCTTCTAGATGGGAGCGTGCTAAGACCTACCCTCAGAGAGCCATTCACTGCCACGCTTGCTGTGCCTAGTCCTACTGCCAGTCTTATTGGCTGTGTGACTCAGGGATGCCCTTTCCCCCCTGAAGCAAGGGCAGCATTGCTACATTCCTACCCACAAGGACCTCAGAACTTTTCTCTTGATCCAAGTTGTAATTCTGGGGTCCAGAATTAAGGACTTAGAAGTGTTCAGATCTATACCAGGCCTCTGACAAGAAAACAAAACAAAACAAAACCCTCCAAGCTGAGGAGCTGAGGTTTCTTACTGATCTCTGTCCCCACTGCCCAGAACACAGGTGGCAAGGTGTTTTCCAGCTCAACACAACCCAGGAGTTGGTGGTTTGTCCACTGTCATGCTCACCCCAGGGTCCCACCGCCATATCCAGCCCTGGCCTGGCCCTGAAATCATTTTAACCCCCGTGGGACTATAGGGAGTGTAAGACAAAGAGCCCCATGGCTACTTGGCGGCAGATCTCCTCTCTACCACGGAACTTCTGAAGCTGCTCAAGAAGCCCATGAACGTGGTCTCCCAAGGGACTCTCTCTCTCTCTCTCTCTCTCTCTCTCTCTCTCTCTCTCTCTCTCAAGCTCTCTTGCCCAGCCACGGTTCCCAAACTTAGTCTCCACACTCAGGGTGTGGAATTCTCCTCAAAGCCCAGGCAGCAGCTCCCTTACTATGGGCTGGAGAGACTTAGGGACAGCCAACCAGGCAGTCTTGGCCTCGGGGCCATGCTATAACCACTCAGCGCATGCGCATGGGGAATTGTGAGCCTGGGCAGTAATCACAGGCTACGGTCTAGACTGTGGCTCTAGTGGGAACAGCTTGTTGCCGTCCTGCGTGGGCCTTGGATTCCCAATAAGAGAGCAGAACAAGCTGGCCAGAGGTTGTAAAGACTGAAATGTCCATGCCCAGGGCTGGCTAGGGGCAGTTCCCAGACTTAGGTGCTGGCTACAGGCAGATATGTGGCCAGGTTCTGAATGAGTTTTTACAGTTCCCAGAGGATGGGTAGTGATCCCATCTAAAAACCCCCAGGTAAGGACCACATAGATGATGGCATCAGTTTGGGAGGGGAGCCCAGCAGGATGGGGCCGGCTTTGTCCCTGCTCACTCACAGGCTGGGAAACCCAGGATGGCTGCTCACACACAGTACACAACCAGTTAGCCAGGCATAGTTAGAGGAGATCAAGCTGCTGTAGCCTTGGACTTCAGGTAGAACAGCCACAAACTTCAGCCTCAGGAGGTGGGGCAGTAGCCTGGCTACCTGGGCCATCACGAATGTCAGACAGTACCATCTGACTTGATACCCCTTATTCACCCATCCAGACACCAGCTATGCCCGGTCCTCCCTGTCCCCTTAGACTGATTCCTTCTCACCTTCTGCCCTCTGATGAAGCCGGAGCCTGCCAGGCAGAAGACCAGGATGCAGAGCCAAAGGAAGATCCGGGGCTCTGCCATGGTAGGAAGGTCCGCTGTCCAAGAAAGAAATTGTATGGAGACAGAGGTTGCAGCGGCAGGCAGTGAGTGAGCTCCGAGAGGCAGGCATGAGGAAGCAGGCAGGACGGGGTGGGTGAGCAGGCTCTTTAAAAGCTATCCGTCAGCTCACCCCCACAGGAACCCACCAGGATTTCCTCCTGCGTATCAGCAGCCTGCAGGCGGAAGGGAAGACGCTGGCCACTGACCCCCACATGGACAACCTGGGCCCAGTTCAGGCCTTCCTGGCCCGGGATGCCATCTCCTGGCATCACAGTCTGGAGGGCAAAGCCCATCAGCCACCTGCCTGGGGTCTAGGGGAGATAAACAACTTCCTGCATCTGTCAAGCCTGTTTTTCATTCAGAAGCTTTGGGGTTCTGGTGGCTGGCTAAGAGATAGTTGGGCAGCCCGTGTCAGGCTGGCTGCCCTGGGCCAGCTGCCTCAGACTTTCCCTCCAACACCAGTGGGGATGGGAGTGTTAGCACCATGCTAGGCCCTCAGATTGCTCTTCTCTCACCAGCTGCCCTACTCCTGACCCCCATGCCCTTGCTGAGCTCACGTCTACCCTGCAGCCATGACCCAGGTCCCTCTCACTGCCTACCACACTTCAGACTTTCCACACTTGTGGTTGGCTTCTGTGATGTCCCCAGCTCTGCTCAGATGTCAGTGGTGACTGGGACAGAGCTGCAGCTCCACTGCCTGAGGCGTTCCTTTAATCTTTCGGGGATAGCTACTTGGGCAAACCCAGGAGTCACGGGTTCAGGGCAGAAAAGAATTTCAAGAGTGGCCAGTATGAGACACTACTGAGATCTTATTAAAAAGTAGTGTGAAAAATTCAAAGCACATCCATTTTTTGTTGTTTTTGTTTTGTTTGGGTCATGCTGGCTGTCCTAGAACTTGCTGGCCTCAAACTCATACATATCCATCTGCCTCTGCTTCCTGAATACTGGAATTAAAAGTGTGACTTCATTTTTAACTTTTATGTGTACAGGGATCTAACTGGACCTTTTCCTTCTCATATTCCCATAAAATTTCCCATTCTATTCTGCCTCTTGGCCAACTGGGGCTTTCTCTTAAAGCAAGCTCCAATGTACAGGCTGTTTCCCTTCCTGGTAGGTATGATGTCTGGTGTTGAAGCCATTGGTCTGGACTGAAATGTCTTGCTGTGACAGAGCAGACACGTGAATCTCAACTGCAGCATGGGCTTTTTGCCATGTGTAAAAGGGGCTGCCTCATCCCCTGCCAGCTAAGCCTAACTTAAATGTTTTCTGCTCCTTGCTGTCTCCTCTAATCTTCCTGGTTTGGTTTCTCTAGCCACTCTTCTCAGGGCTGCATGATTAAGGAACCAGGTCTTCTTTGTGCTAATAAACTCTGCTATGTTTAATTAATTTAAGGCTGTTGTTGGGGGTTAAACCCTGAGCTAAGTGCATGCTGTGGGTGCTTACTATCAAGTCACACCCCCAGCATGGGTTTCCCTTTAAATAAGGTTTCAGAGCATTTCTTTGACCTGACCCCAGCCTGACTTCATGCCTGGTGGCACTGGCAATCAGCTGGCACTGTCCTGTCCTATTTAATAGTTTTTTTTTTTTTTTTTTTTTTTTTTTCTCCCTTGGAGTGTCAGCTGAGAAAGAATAGGGGTCCCATCTTGGCGGGGGCAGAGCAGATGCTGGTACGGATGCATGGAAGAGACAAGGCATAAAGTGAAGATGGTTGGTTAATTTACCATTCCTGTTACTGTTAGAGGATGTGGGCTCAGAGCCCCCAGACAATTCAGCTGAATTTATATTCAGATACAGCCTCCTCCAGGAGTGGCGAGACTGCTGGTCTGGGTGTGGGAGGACCTACTGCTTGTTACTATTCTCTATTACTTGTTACAATTTCTCTATTTCTCCCCAGCCCCTTCCTCTGGGACAAGCTTATCTAGAATTTACAGTCTAGTTCAGGATGGCCTCAGGCTCTTGGCCTTCCAAGTGCTGGGATTAGAGGCCTGAGTCACCAAGCTTAGCCTTTTATTCTTTTTTTTTTTTTTTTTTTTTTTTTTTGGACAGGGCCTTGCTGTGTACGCCAGGCTGACTGGGATCTCATCACCCTGCCTCATCCTCTTGCTCACCTATGACCTAATGGGTTATAGGTGTGTGAGATGGTTTGAGTAAAAATGACCCCCATAGGATCAATGATAGGGTGTGGCACTATTAGGTGTGGCCTGGTTGGGGGAAGTGTGTCACTGGAGGTGGGGTTTGAGGTCTCAGAAGCTCACACCAAGCCAGTCTCATAGTTTTCTTCCTGATGTCTGTGGCTCCAGATGTAGGACTCTCTCCAGCACAGAACCTGCCTCCTTGTCACCATAACAAAGGACTAAATCTTTGAACTGCAAGCCAGTCCCAATTAAATGTTTTCCATTGTAAGAGTTGCTGTGGTCATGGTGTCTCTTCACAGCAGTAAAACCCTAAGACAGCATGTGTTATCATGCCCTTGAATTTGTTAGTGGATGTTGTGTGATCCTGGGAATGGAATCCCAGGGAGCTACATGCTTCCCTGTTCTTCCTTGGTGGAGGGCTAGACTGATCTTGGAGGTCTGGCTAGGGGGCGTTGAGGGTGAGAAGCCCTTTCCTGAGGGACTCTTGGCTTTCTTCTTTGCCCACACCCTTTCTGAGGGCAGCAGGTTCTCCACACTAGGATTCCATTCTGATGACAGACAGACAGACACACACACAAAACCCAACAGCAAAAAAATACCCCCACAACTAGACAAACCAACTGGGGAGCAGCAGAGTAGAGCCTGAGGCCAGCCCACTGCTTGGCCCAGATGAGGTGTGGGGACAGGTGGAGGAATGGTGGGACACAGGGATCGACCATCCATGAAATTGTAGGTCCTACCCTGGCAGGGCCCCTGAGGTAACCCCAACCCTCTGGCATGAATCAGGCAGGGATAGGCAGGGGCTCTTCTTACTACTGCCCACCACCAGGTCCACTTCCTGTTGCCATTCATAGGCTATCTTCATCGGATCTCTGGTCCCACAGGCATCAGCAACCTGTGTCCAGGCCTTACCCTTAAGCTTAAGTTTCAAGTGGGCCTGGACCCAGACGCAGGACGCCCTGAGGAAGTTAAAGAGGGAGGTGGGCTGCTATGGGAGGGATGCCCTGAAGAGCTACATGAACCACTCTTTGCCTGGGCTGCAGACTTGACTATAACCCAGCACAGCCCCATCCTGGGTCCCGCACACTTCTCCCCACTCCCCTCTAGTCTCCCCCATACCGACCACGCATGCTCTTGGTTTAAGTCCTTTTGGGACCTTAGTTATCTTTGACTATGACTGTGTCAAACTCTGCTTTATTAGAATAGAGAAAATAGGCAACAGGAATTACGGTTGGTGCTGGCAGCTCTAGGTCCCCTGTACTGGCTCCTCTTGGCCCCATGGCCTGGGAACTCCCCAAGAGGATTTCCTCTTGTCTGGACCTGAGGAGGCCACCATTTTGGAAAAGCCCACAAAATGGGAACTTCCAATATATATTCTACTACCAGCTTTGTGATTAGCAGCAAAACGCCCATAATGACAGCAACAGTAACAAGGGACTGGACTTAACACTTCAGGAAAGGACGTGGAGGGTACTAGGTTCACAGCGCCAGCCACATGTTAACATCAGCATTACAATCACAGACAAAATGATGCTGTGTGCCTGGCCATGCCACTTCAGAAGCAGGTGACACAAGGGAGGCTGACAGCACAAGGACACTCTGGAGGGGCTGGCATACTTCTTCCCAGCATTAGGAAGAATGAACTCAACACACATGTTCACATTCTCTGTGGGAGCTGTGTGGGGGCTGTGGGCAATCAATGTCAGGAACCTAGGGCGGGCGGGGAGAACACCTTAAAAAGAACACAGAGGCCTGCTTCCTTGCCCTTCTGGACACCAGACTAGACTGCACATGGCAGGTGGCCAGGGCTGTCATGGTGTGCATTAGCCGGTGAGCTCCACAGGCAGCTCCCTGCCACAAAGGGCTTCCCACTGCCGTGCCAGCAGTGAGATGAGCTTTTCTCGGCTCTCAGCACTGGGGACAAATACCTGCCACTGGACCTCCCTGCCCTGGCCAGCCCTGCCAGGGTCACCTGGCATCTCCCCAAAGTGGTTCAGGGTAACATTGCCCATGAGATCGTGACCCTGCAAGTCATCAAACACAAGAGTAAGTGCCTGTGGGTAGGGATGGTAGCCCATGAGCACCCGGTCCAAATCCCGGACACGGCGGCCATCATCCAGCCGGTATCTATCCCTCTGTGGTGGCTCTTTGGCAAATTCAGGCAATGGGTAGTGGATGTAGTCTTCATCCAGAAGAAAGATCTCAGCACTGGTGAGCAAGAGTGTCTTGGGGCGCAGTGGGCCCCTGCTCCGCCCAGGCTGTGGTGTGACCACCTGGAAGGCCTGTGTATATAATAAGATGCTGAGGGCTGGAGCCTTTTCAGGATCAGCCATCTTCTGTGCCACGATATAGGTCAGGTCCCCAACTTCTTCCTCACTGGGGTAGGTGAACTTGACTCGGCTGGAATGGATCAGCTCATAGTTCTCCATTTTTCCTACAGGAAGAGAGGACACCAGGGCTGTAACCTGAGCTGGCCTGTGGTGGGGTTAGAAGCAACAGCAGCCCCAACCCACCCCTAGACTCTGAATGAGAGGTAGTTGAGAGTGCTCCAAGGCCTGGGCTGAGGGATGTCTGCTGGATGACAGTCCTGGGATGGAGTCTCTGCCATGGAAGGGGTCCACAGAGAGCCCTGGCCAGCTAGGTAGAGAAGAGGGAAAGACAGGGACAGTGAGGGCTCTGGGGTGGACAGGGTACCTGTGTTCTTGTCACCAAATTCTGAGTAGAAGTCCTTGTCAACAGGCTCAGGTGAGGGTGTGCGTTCCAGTGAGGAAAGCACCAGCATGAGGTGCTGGAGGAAGCAGTGTGTCAGGTAGCTGTCACGAGTCAAGCATGTGACCACCTGCGTTGGGGAGGAGCCTGCACAAGAAGGGGCTGGTCACAGGTACAGGCCACCACTCCCATCCCATCCCCTGCAAGTTCACCGCTTAGAAAACCAGGACCCAGAGGGCCCATGTGGAAGGGCATCATGGACCCAGGGAGGTGGCCATATCTCAGGCAGGAAGGGCTGAGACATTTTTCTGGAAGGGGACGAGCTTAGCTTTCTCTCTTCAGGAAGTGAGTCAGAAACATCCTGCCCCTAGGCCCAGGGCCCACTCTGCTGCCATTCAGGTTAGCTGCTCCCTGCATCCCCGCCTCCTGTTATAAACGCTAGGGCGGGAGTCTGGCCATCTCAGCAGTTCCTCAAGCTGCTTCCTCCCACCCGAGTAGCTGGCTTGTGAGTGGAGATAACGTATCCAGTGATAAACACACCCACATGTTCAAGGGGGGAGCCCACTGGCGACATTGGCCTTCACCCAAACTGGGACAAAACACACTGGGTCACTTACCCGTCAGCCGGAAGTACTGGTCAAAAAGGCCAACATTGACTGACTGCAGGTCACTGAGCTTGAACACAAAGCATTGAGAGATGTGGAAAGGACTGTTGTTATAGTCCGTGTTTTTCTGATGCCAGAAATCTGTGATGGAGAGAAGCCCATGGTTAAACATGTCCAGCAGGAATGTTGCCTGGCAAGGAGTCACGACCACCTGCATATACAAAGGACTTCAGTGAGGCTGGGTGTGGGGTAATGAGGCTGGGTGTGGGGTATCAGCCTCATCTAGCTTAGCTCAGCAGACTCACATCATTGGGTGAGGCTCCCACTGAGATCCAAGAGGCTGCCAAACCCCTGCATGTGACAGCCAGTTCCCAAGCATTCCCTGGCATGGCATATCCATATTTGACCTTAGGTTTTTATTACAGTTCTAAGAGGGAAGTACTGTTGTCACCCCTTCCCCAGGTGAGGGACTCTGAGCTCGGAGCTGCTACCCAAGTCCGCTGCTGGCTTTTAATCTGCCCCTGCTCCTAGACCCTGCAGGCAGGGGTTGCCTACCCTGCAGTGGTTCTGAGAAGTAGCGGCGGAGGCCGTCATGCAGCACGAAGTACACAGCCTTGGTGGAGAGCAGCACACAGGCGGTCACTTCCAGCCCGGGGCTCTGGTAGAACACAACTGATGACCACAGCAGGTGCCTCAGCTCCTCGTTCTCAACCTGAGCACAGAGGGAATGCAGGAGAATGGAGTGGGACAGGCCACACCTTCCTTCCTCCTAGACAACACCTGAGTGCAGACTCCAGGCAGCATGTCCCTCCCATGTGTGTCAACCCTGCTACTGTGCTGACTCCTGGGTTCTGGGAACAGCTCATGGCCTTGGATGTCAAGGTACAGGAAGCTCATCTCATTTATCAAATAAACGCAGAGCTGAGAAAAGGAGGTAGGCATGGGAGCTACAGAATTAGATATGGCAGAGGGCACACCTGGCTGGGGGTGAAGTGGCAGACCTCTCGACCCAGACCCTCAATTCAATTCAGCAGATGAAGCTGAGGACCTGAGGATGTCCCCACAAACCCTGCCCTACCCTCAAGACTGACTGGTACTACAGCAGAGCCCACACCTCTCTCCACACAAGTGCCAGCCAGCAAGACCAGCACCTGGGCCAGTACCTCAGCGATGCTGCTGTGGAAGAGCTCAATGATGGCACGCCCCTGAAGACTGGCGATGTGATGAAGTGACGGGCAGACTGGCAAGTGAGAGGGGATCTGATTCTCCTCAGACGTGGACTGGATCAGGCGCTCACTTGGGTACTGGGCAGGGGCCTCAGCTTGTGCCAGGGCCTGTGGTTGGGCCTCCACTGGGGCTGGAGCCTCTGCTGAAGCCGGAGCTGGAGCCGGAACTGCACCCGGAGCTGGAGCCGGGGTCTCCTGTGGTCGCTGCTCATCACTACATCCCCCAGTGACCCAAGAAATGCCAAATAAACACATGGACCCCATGGAGATTCACATCATATGCACATCAGAGTGTGATGGCCGACTGTCCACCAAGTGCTACCCTTGGGGTCACTGGTGATCTACCTCATCACCAGGCTCTTGATGGTAGGACCATATGGCAGAGGGAAAGTATATCAGGCTCTTTTTTTCTTTCATTCTTTTTTATTTTTTATTTTTATTTATTTATTTTTTTCAAGACAGGGTTTCTCTGCCTTGGCTGTCCTGGAACTCGCTCTGTAGACCAGGCTGGCCTCAAACTCAGAGATCCACCTGCCTCTGCCTCCCAAGTGCTGGGATTAAAGGCGTGGGACACCAATGCCCAGCAGGTCCTTCTCTTGAACAGATGTGGGCAGAGCAGACCACCCTGGGGCTTAGCCAGCCATACACATGTAATAAAGGCTTCGGCTCACGGACAGAAAGTTTTTTTTTTTTTTTCCAAGACAGGGTTTCTCTATATTGATTCAGAGCCTGTCCTGGAACTAGCTCTGTAGACCAGGCTGGCCTCGAACTCATAGAGATCCGCCTGCCTCTGCCTCCCAAGTACTGGGATTAAAGGCGTGCATCGTCAATGCCTGGCATTTTTTTTTTTTTTTTTTTTTTTTTAGTGTATTTAACTTTATTTTATATGCACTGGTGTGAAGAGGTCAGATCCCCTGGAACTGGAGTTATAGACAGTTATAAGCTGCCATGTGGGTGCTGGGCACTGAACCTAGGTCCTCTGAAGAGCAGCCAGTGCTCTTAACTACTGAGTCATCTCTCCAGCCCCGAAAGTTCATTTTGAAAGTACTACATAGGCATCAGAAAGGCCACTTCAGGGTTATTACTTCCTGAGAAGGGTTTTCATGTGGTGCCAAAAAATAAGCTTTGGGAGCTGGAACTGGGTACCTGAAGCAATCCCTAGCTGACAGAGCCAGACACTGGATGAGACCCCCGGTGGCGGAGGAAGATGACATGCAGAAACCATGTTTGGGCCTGTGAGAGGACACTGGCAGGACCAGGGACAAAGTGAGATAGGACTGGCTCCCTTAACCTGTCTTGCTTGCCTGGGCTGCTTTTTAGCCTCTGGAGGTCTGGAGCAGGGGCTCAGGATGGTCAGTGTTGAAGAGAAGCCAGAGGAAAGGGGAAAGTAAAGGAGGACTCCCACAAAGTACAAATGCCCAGAGATCACACCCAAGCCAACCCCTGCCCCAGGTCCCAGGAGCCACACTACTCTCACCTGGCCCTGCTCTTGGCAGGCTGGCCATCCCTGACAGTGCTCTGGGATCTTGGCCCAGCCGCAGGAGTCTTGGAGATGACAACAGTCTTCAGGTCCTGCAGTGAGGCCCGTAGCTGATTGTAGATTCGCAGGAAGTGGAATTTCTCATGGGGCAGTACAAAGATGGCAGTAACAAAGCGGTAGCCAACCAGCAGCTCGAGCACATGGCCATCAGCAAAGGCACCCCGTGGCTGGGTGCAGCTGCGGGTGGGGTCCAGCAGCACAGTGGAGAGCGGTACTCGGCTAAGCTTGAAGCTATTGCGGTTGCGGCAGTTGTGGGTACCACGATTGGGCATCGGGTTGAAGTCAGCCTTGATGACATTGAGATGCTGGGGAGTGAGCAGCAGCCAGTAGGGGATGGCAGCAGACTTGACGGCCTCAGAGGGCGCACAGCAGGAGCGCCGCACTGCTGAGCAGAGTGTACAGCTGGCCCATTCAATGTTGCCTGAGTAGTCCCCAGCGGCTGTCTGAACCATGCGCTTGTCACTGTAGACCAAGTAGACAGGGAAGCAACCCTGGCTGCGCTCCTGACAGCCACCATCCACCTTGTAGAAGGTGAGCAGCTGGCGCAAAAACTCCTGCAGGGTGGTGTGGCTCCCATAGAGGATCGGGCTACACAGCATGGCCATGTGCTGCGGTGCAAAGCAGGAGCGCAGGTCAGCATGGAATTCATGCAAGTTGGCAGCATCAGAGATGATGAAGAGTGTGTTCTCACTGTGCCGCACCTTGAGTACCAGACACAGCTCTGGCATGAGGAAGCCAAACTCAGTGAGGTCGCCATGTGGAAAGCAGAAGACGAAGCGCAGGGATGAGAGGATGTGTTGGCTGCTGCCTCGTGACTCTTGGTGTGGGATCTCAAAGACAGCGATGCCAAAGTCAGTGAGCACAAGGCAGGCGGCAAACTGGCGGATGCTGCCCTGCACGTGGATCAGGAAGCACCACAGCACCTTGAGGATGCGGATGTGCTCCAGCAGGAAGTCCTCGTCAGCACCCAGGGCCCACTCCAGAGCCAGGCGCTCCTCCTCAGCCTCCTCATCTTCCTCGTCTTCCTCGTCCTCCTCTTCTCCCTGGCCATTGCCTTCTTCTTCCTCTGTGTCTGGGGGACCCATTTCAAAGTAGCGATTTTCAGCAACATCCTCCTCCTCTTCCTCTTCTTCCTCTTCCTCTCCCTGCTCACCCTGGGCTTCCTCTCTTTGGTTGGCAGCCTCAATCCAGGCAGGGAGCTGCCGTTCAATGGCCTGGCGGATCAGTGTGCTGAGGCGCTGGATGAAGTCCTGGTTGGTAGCTGTATAGCCAATGCAAGTGAAGGGCAGGAAGATGATCTGGCCTGACCCAGGCACCACCTGGACCTCTGGCTCCGAATGTTCTGGGCTGTGCAAGAAGAGTCTGGGTCAGGGACACAGAAATATTCTATCCCCTAATCTGCTGTAGTACCTTGACCCTAGGAAACCAATCCATGCATCTCCTGAGTCTCTCACACAGCTGAGCCTGTTCAAGTGGCTGCCATCAGGATGGATAGCCAGCTTGAGTCCAGGCTTCTACATACTCAGAACACAGCTACACACCACAGCCTGCACAAACCATCTGGCTTCCACAACAAAAGTGTTATAGACATTTCTGTCATTTGGATGCCTCTAGGTGTCAAAGGGGCAATGAAGTACGCCAAGGTGTGAAATCTCTTTGTTGAGAAGTGACCACCTTTATGGACATTCCGGTTTTCCAGGGCAGTAAATCAGGTTAGGTGGGTCCTAGGAGAATCATATTTAAATCCTATCCCCTTTTGTCCTCTATAACACTCGAATGAACAAGAATTAGAAATATGCCTCTGTAGACAGGCATGGTGGAGCAAGCCTTTAATCCCAGAATTGGGAAGGGGCAGGTAGATCTCTGTGAGTTCTGAAGCCAGCTTGTCTACGTAGTGAATCTCAGACCAGCCAAGGCTAAGCAGAGATCCTGTCTCAAAAATATAAAATAAAGTAAATAAAAGTAGACTTCTGTAAAGGGCCAATGAGCTGATGTTTCATGATGTGTGTGCTGGGCCTACTCATGTAATTTTGTTTAAACAGGAATTTAAGAATATAATAATTTGGGGCTCGAAAGATGGCTTAGCAGTTAAATGTACTCGGCATTCTCACAGAGGATCTAGGTTTATTTCTCAGCACCCATACAGTGGCCAACAACCATCTGTTGTTGCAGGAGATGTGATGCCCTATCATGGCCTCCAAAGGCACAAAGCACACATGTAGTGCACAAATATATACATGTAGTCAAACACTCATAAACATAAAATTAAAATAAACTTTCTTCTTTTGTTTGTTTTGAGATAGGATCGCTTTATGTAGTCCTGGTTGTTCTGGAACTTGCTATGTAGACCAGACTATCCTTGAACCTATACAGAAGTGTCTGCTTCTACTTCTTGAGTGCTGGGAAGTACACCACTATGTCTGGACATCCAGAAAAATAAACAAATCTTAAAAACAATAACAATAAAAAGCAGCAGCAGCTAGGCATGGTGGCATACACCTTTAGTCCCAGGCAATAGGTGGCAGAGGCAGGCCAATTTTGTGAGAATCCAGCCCTGTTTACAAAACAAGTTCCAGGTATGCCAGGGATACAGAGACAGGCCCTGTCTCAAATGCAAAAGACAAAACAAAACAAAAACGACAGCAACAACAACAAAAATCAAGCAAGGTGGAGTGGCTTTAGTTCTGTGACCCTGACACTCAGGCTGAGGGAGGAGGGGTGCCATGAATTTGAGGTCAGGTTGAGCTACATAGTGAGACCTGGTCAAAACCAACAAAAAGCCCCACCAGCAAACAGAGAGAGAATGCTTATTCTTGACTCACAGTATAAAACAGAACTATGGACCAAACTGGCTTTGATTTGCCAACCTCTAGTGTAAAATAACCGTTACACAGCTGAGGAGAAACAGACAGAGCTCCTCTCAACTATGCTAGAGTAAAGGCAGACTTCTACAAACAGGCTACTAACAAAAGCCCACTGGCTGCTCAGTCTGCAGCAGAGACTAATGCTCTCTTCCTTACCTTGCACCACCAACTGCTCCTGGCACATCCCGCAAGTCTTCAGCTGCCACCTGACAGGAGAGAACATGAGCCTCAGCTGCTGCAGCTATGCCTTGGCATTGACTGGGTGCAGCCTCACCACCTCCACACTCCACCCTGGGTGTGCTAACTTGGGAAAATGCACATTTGGCTATCTTGCTAATACTCACTAGGGCTGGCTTTCCCATCCATCTGACCTGCACTTACACACCCAACCCTGGACCACAGCCTGTTTCCATGGAGGTCTGGCATCTGTGTGTGTGTGTGTGGGTCTTCTGCAGCCCAAAGGTCCAGCTACTCTGGCCTGGCTGGCCCCAGGCAGCGCACATGATGAAAGGTGGTCCTGGCAAGGTCCCCAGTGCTTCCTGCATATCCCTTCCTACAACCTTAAGGATAGAGTACTGGGGACAGACAAAGCCCCTGCAAACTGTCTTAGCATCACATCACCATGACTCTACTGTGCAAGAATAAAGAAGCCCCAGGCATGGAGCACACAGCACCAAGCACTCATTTTCCTCTTCTTTTTTCCAGGGACAGAGATGAGCCCCAGAAGTCTGCACAACAGCTACAAAAAGGCGTTAGGAGTCATACTGTTCAGACCACCAAAGTGACATGTGGCAAGGGACAGAGTAGTCTCAAGGTGCTAGGCATTAGGGGAGATTCCCCTTGAGCAGCCAGCTCATATGTGCCCAAAGAATGCCCACCTTCCCTGTCCCTCAGGGCCCTAGTACTGCCTGATCTCATGGGGTGGAGGAGGCCAAATTCATACCCTTAACCACTTGGTCTATGAAGATGACCCAACCAGAGACACATCTAAGAGAAAGACTGCAGGTCATACAAAGTACCCCCAAGAGCCCTAGTCACACATGTCAGATCCCCACCAGGCCATGTCCCACTGTGAACAATGCCAGACAGCAGCAGCATGGCTAAGGGATTAGTCCCCAGGAGGAGGCAAGGGTATTACCTGTCCTGTGGGGATAGATTCCAAGGAGTCAGAGCAGTCTTGGGCAATGGGACGGTCCTCCGGGGGTAGACTGTCAGTGGATGAGAGGCTGCTGGCCAGGGCCTCTTCCTGTACAAACATGATTCCTGTAGAGATGGGGTAGGCAGGTGGGCAGGAAGAGCAGCTGTTCAACAAGAGGCTAGGCCTTGGGTTCACGGCATGGCCAGGCACTAGCCAAACCCCAAATCATCATATGGACCAGAAAACAAAATGCGGTAATTCAGTAACTCAGGACCAAGCAAGTGGCTGCTCTCTACTGTCAGGGAGCGGCTGGCTTCCTGAGCATACAAGGCAGGGAGGGAGTCATGAAGACCAAACCCTTAGAGGTGCACTCTACAGACTGAGATAAAATAATGCACACACAGAGAAATGTACAGAGAATAACAAAGACCTGTATCTTAATCTTTAAGGAGCTTTTTTTTTTTTTAAGTATTATTATTATTTTTCAAGATAGGGTTTCTCTGAAGCTTTGGGCTGTCAGAACTAGCTCAGTAGACAAGGCTGGCCTCAAGCTCAGAGATCCGCCTGGCTCTTCCTCCCAAGTACTGGGTTCAAAGGCGTACACCACCACTGCCTGGCCAAGGAGCTCTTCTTACAGATTACAAAAATGAGGAATGAGTTGTTTGAAAACTCTGTGAGAATGCAAAGAATAGGAACAGACATTGCATGGAAGAATGACCAAAAGATATAACATACAAAACGACACACAAAGAAAGACAAATTGAAATAGGAGACCACCTTTTCTCTTATTATGGCACGGTTAGAGCATAGATCCTGGCCCAGCCTAACTAGGAAAATGTGGGTACTGGAGTATAAGCTGATCCACCGCCCAGGAAAGCAGTTTGGTGATATACTTATCAATAACCTTGGACATACTGGGACACTGTCCAAAGAAAGGACTACAAGTGACCCCATGCTCCTATCTGGCAAATTCCAAGCACAGAACTATTTATCAAGAAGCCAGGCTTTGCAGACTTGATTCTTCAGGGTTTGCCGAACACAGCTGGGACCTGAACCCACAGGCTGCTTTATCAGAGTGCCCCGCTGACTGTCCTGTAGGCAGTAGCAGTCCTACTCATGTACTTTGAAATGCAATGGATATTTAAGCCATACTAAGGGTATTTCATGAATAGACTGTTTGCAACTCGGTTAAGGGGAACCCCTCCTCCCCATTTAAAAAAAAAAGTGTCTCAAACTGTAGCTAGCTGGTTTAGAAGAACCCTGCCTCTACAGCCTGGCTTTGCTACCAAACAACCACCATGACCAAACCCTCAAGAGCCCCACATGCTACCTTGTTCAGTTTGACTGCCACCTAGAACAGGACAACTCACACAGCCCAGGTTCTCTGCCCAAAGGGTAAGCAGGCAGCCCAAGCTCAGGTCCCATGAAGCTAAGCTGCAGACGATTCAAGGGAGGACGCAGCAAGCACACAGCCATGCACCAAGCGGGCCCCAGCCTTTGCTTTTGTTGCCCTGTTTCAGAAATATCTTAACCCAACCCATCTTTCAAGATTCATCTCTGGTACCACATCTGCTGCAGTCCTAAAAGTATTCCCAAACAGTTCTAACTTGTTCTTCCATAGGTATACAGTCTCTCCCCAAGTGGCTCTATGTTCCTAGTGGCACTGTCTTGAAACTCCAACTCAGGATGAAGGAAGGAGCTGCTACTGACCAGTCCTGTTAAGCCGTAGCAGTGCTAAGCACCTCCCCAGCATCAGCTCATGCACACCTCTTGTCATTTACCACATTTCATCAAATCTAACATCTGTGGATGAGGTGCCATCTTGGTCAAAGCAGATGTCCACAGGAGGTTTTCTCATGACTCCATCACGATTACCAGCTGGCTGACAGCAACTAGGGGACGCCACTGACTGAAAGACGCATCTCGATTTCAGAGAAGTCTTAGGGTAGAAATGTGTGCATCTTAGAATCGATGAAGTAGGATGTATCCACTTTATGTCTGAGAAAACTGCTTCCAAGAGGCTGTATGTTGCTTGAGATCGCATGGCCAGGAAGATGGAACATGAACTCAGCTGCCTGCCTGCCTCTAGTCACTTCTACAACACAGACTTCTCTCAGCCCCAGGCAGGGATGGAGAACCAACTCTGGCACTTTGGACACTGGCCCCTATCACTCCTAATCTTCCACTGCTCTAATGGCTGTGATGACCAGAGGCTGTGTTTTCTGGACAGCAGCCCTTCAGGTAGGCCAGTTTTCTCACAAGTTTTCTCTTTGGGTCAGGCTGGGAACCACCAGAGTAAGTCAGTAAAGCTAAGTCTTTTCATCCAGGCCAGTTCTAGCAACACATGCCCAAATGCACACATATGTGGGTGCCTCACATTTGTGAGGACAAAAAGGAAAAAAGAAAAAGCAGTATTTTCTTGCCACTGCCCCCTCACCACCCCTCCCCCCCCGCCAGCCTTGTTTGGGCATGAGGAAATGCAGACAGGACAGTCTGTCCACTTCCTTCCTGAACCATGGTTTGTACAAACAAGTGTTCAGAAAGGGCCACTCAGCAGATGGGACAGGGGACATCAGGAGTCCTCAGACAGGGTTTGACCTTTGTCACTTCTCACCCAAAGGAAAGAGATGTGCACACAAAGACATCCACTGTAGTTTTATTTACAAGAGGTGTAAATCTGTGACAACATCTCTCAGTGTCCAATGACTGGGAAAAGGGGGACAGACTACAGAGCACCCAGGGATGAAAGGGCACCAAGGAAGGGGTAGATGAGGGTTGCCCCAGGCTGCAGAGACTTCACCACCTCAAGGCAGAGGGCTGCTGGCAGTTGAGGCCTAGAGGAGATACTCATTCCTCCTGCCTAGCCAGGATCTGCTTTGGGCTTTGTTATTCACTTGCCCATCTACACACATACATACCCATCCACGCATGCACGCGCAGGCACACCCATGCGGTGCTGATTCAACAAATGCTAGATCAGGTTACATCCTGGACTTTAGGATCCTAGTATCTCCCTGTCCCCAGAAGTCTATGGTTGCATGCTTTCTATGTAATATTACTAATACTGTGGGGACCTGAAGAGAGGTCAGGGAAACTTCCTCACAGAGACTCAAACTTTCTTCCTTCTTTTATGGAAAAATAAAATAAAAATTTTTGTCAAAATTTCGACAAAGCCAATGGGCAAATGTGCTGGCACCTAGCTCCACTGCTGGATTTTCATGGCTTCTCTTCTGCACATCACAGTTGTGACTTCAGGCTGTTGTGCATAGGGCTTTTTTGCCTTGTCTCTGGCCCTGACCAGACTGCCATGGAGGGTTCTATGACACCACGGCCTTTCCCTGCTCTCATTGGTGTGCATGTCAGTTTGGTGCTGCTACAGGGGAGAACTTCCCTTTCCCAGGATCTCAGCCCTCTCTAGAAAAGTTTCCTCCAGTGGGTCACCAGGTCAAGGAGTAGAAATGTATTTCTGGCTCTTAAAACCTAGGGCCATACTAGTTTCTCAAGACCTCACACCAAGTTCTGTGTCTCCAGGAGCCTGGGCGGGCGGCGTTCTTTCCTGTGTGTCCCGAGCCTCAGCTCCACCTGGGACGGCATACCTGCCCCTCTTCCGTCGGGGTCAGGCCGGCAGCCACGCTCATGGTACCTGGTTCACTCACTCATCTCCGAGGTTGCCTGGGTTCAGAGGTGAAAGCCCTTTGAAAATGCTCAGACAATGGGCAGATGAAAGGGGCTGTTCTTCCATGGGTCCATGGAGACAGACAGCCCATATTGGACCCATAAATGCAGTATTTTGGGGGCTTGGCCATACCTTGAGTGCCAGAGACATCACAACAATAAAAGTAAGCTCTCCACACAGGGATCAAGAGCTCTAGACTCAGGAAAGTAACAAGGCCTGACTTTCTAGGAGCTGACCTGCCCACACGGTCTACAGGGGAGCAGATCCTAATGAGCCAACAATCTAAGCCTGCTCAAGGCAGCCTCAATTCTCTGTCCAACTTCCCATGGTAGCCTAAAGGAACTGGATGTGATATAAATGGGATAGGGAGTCCTCATTAAGCAAATAACAGTGCTGAAATCAGGCCGGGCACCTCCCTGCCATGTGCCACCCAAGGAGCCAGCCTGCAGAAGGTGCTACCCTCCCCATGCCTGACCCTGTAGGAAGCAAGTGCCAACCTTTCTCCCTCAAGCCCAGCCCTGCCTTCGGTCCAGGCAGCACTGAGCAGCTCAGCGAGGAGGAAGATCTAGTCATGATTACCTTGGTTGGAGAGGATGGGCTGAGGCAGGGAGGCTGAGGTGGGAGCTGCAGTTGGAGGGCAGCTGCTAGGTCTGATGCAGGGAGCGCCTGGGAGCCGGGAGTCCTCAACCTGAGGAAGAATATTCAGTCAGTCCAGGAGAAAAAAGGACAGGAAGAACAGACATGCTAAGGCCAGGGATGTGGAGCAAAGACCTCAACATTCTCTCTAGAGAATGTTGAGATTTATCTCATACAATCCAACAGTAGGTACCATCACCATACCACTTGAGGACTCAGCCTGAGGTTTCATGGGAGGAGGGGGGTGTTAATGATCAGAGACCTCGAGGGATTCCATGGCTCAGTTTCCCCAAGAAAAGTTCCATCCTTGGCTGGCTCCCCCCACCCTAAAGTTCTTACCTTCTTTTCTGAATTGCTCAGTTTGGACTTGACATCCTTGGCTTTCTGAATTGCTTTCAACACTTCCACAGTGTCTAGCTCCTTCTCTGTGGTTGCTGCATCATCTAGACAGATCTACAAAGTTCAGAGAGCAGCTTACAGCATGGAGACTGGTGAAGCACATTGGGAGAATGGTGGGATCCTGCTGAGGGAGACGCCTTACCACAATGTAACTATCCTAGAACCACCTTGGAGGGCCCATGAGGTCCCACATAGCTTAATACATCTTTAGGAGTTCCTCTCCACTAAGAGTGAGCAACAGCCTCTTGGGGACTAGGGGAAGGAAGTGAGTGTACTGTGTCCTATCGGCAGAACTGGCTGTCAAAGAGCAAGAGGAGAGAGAACCTTTTGAACAAGGGACTAGTGGAGTGAAGACAAGTGTGTGGTGGAAGGCAGGAGTCCTATCCTGGAGGGCTGTGGACTGGCATGCAGGCGGAAAGGCCTCAAGAAACGTAGTGCTAAAGCGCTGGACTGGTGCTAATGTCATGGAATGAGGGAGGCTTGCTAGCTCTGCAGTCAAAAAAAGGAAGACACCTTTTTTATCTGGTTGTTTGTTTGCTTATTCATTTATTTAGAGACAGGGTCTCACTCCATCACCCAGGCTGGCCCTGAACTCCGGGAAAGCCTCTTGCCTCAGATCCTGAGTTCAGGAATTACAAGTATTATCAATTATCTCTAGCAAGAGATGGCATCTTATGAAAATTATCTTAGGAGCAATGTGGACAAAGTGGCACTTGGTGGGGGCAGAGAAGGGCTAGAGATAGACACAAACAGACCCTCAGATTGGGGTCTGGAGAAAATAAGTTGAAGGACTGGTGGGAGAATGGGAATGGGGATAAAGCCTGATATAGGCTGAGGGAAAGGAACACAGCCGGGTAAGGGTCTCCTTGGTTAGCAAGGTGGCACGTGTACTGTCCCAGCCAGCAGGCAGCAGGCACAGGGCTGGATTGACCCAGTAAAATGAAAGAAAAAAAAAAAAAAAAACAAAAAACTCAAAGTTGATAGTTAAGCATCAGGGTTACCAGCTGTCCAAGAAATCAGTAATTTTAGGCATCTTATTCTATGCCCCTTGTCTAAAATATTCAATATATTTCTTTTCTTCTCTTTTTTCTTTTGGTTTTTTTAAGACAGGCTGTCCTGGAACTCACTCTGTAGACCAGGTTAGCCTTAAACTCACAGAGATCCGCCTCCTGAGTGCTGGGATTAAAGACCTGTACCACCATCATCTGGCTTCCCATGTATTTTTTAAAAGTTGAAGATAATCCCTCTGTACCTATGTGTTCCTGCAGCCTACCTGGCCTGAAGTTCTGGCAGACATGAAGCCTGTTGGGAATATCAGATGATGGGAGAAGGGTGGGAAGTGCAGAGCCTTTTTACAGGGAGCAGCAGACTTGCAGCTCGGAAAAGAGGATATCCTCTCAAACAGACAAGGGCCTTGCTTTGCCTACACAGACCTGCAATTTCCCTACCAGTCTCTCTGGGCTCTGCTGGTGGTTCTGTGGCTTACCTCAGAGGCTCGTTCTCCGAACTGGGAGAGCACTTTGGTCCGATAGTCAGGGATGATGCTTAGAGGGTTGTTGAGCAAGGCCACTCGCTCCAGACATGGTAGGCTACCTATGCTCTTGACCTCCTCCAACTGTAAGACATAAATGCCGTAAGTGCCATTTGGCCACTTCTTCTAACACTTCAGCAACAGACTACAAACTTGATGGCTGCTTTTAAGTAAACAGAGTTCTACCTGATTTCTTTTCTTGAAGATAACAAACACCAAAGCCCAGCAATCCCAGATCCCCGAGACCCTCAGGGCTGGGGCTTACCTGCTCAATCCTGTTGTCTCTGAGGTCCAGATTAACCAGAGAGTAGAGTTTGTGCAGGCCGCTCAGACTCTCTAGGAAGTTGCCTGCCAGGTTTAGGGTTTTGACATTGCCCAGTTTGGTGTGCACGCCTTCCAGGGAGCTGAGTTTGTTGTAGGACAGGTCAAGGTGTACGAGGTTGTACAGGTGCTGTAGTAGCAGGAGAAACACAGTGGCAGCATAGGTCAGACCTCTAGGGAAGTCACTGTGCTCTTTCAGACCAACTGCACCAGTTCTGTGAGGCAGCTTTGCAAGTCCTTTTGACAGCCATTGGGAAGAAAAGCCCCTCTTCCCTCTTTCACGTGCCATTAACCCAGTAGTATCCCTTGCAGAGAGGATAGGTGAGAACCAGCTGCCTACCATCATCACTCTGTACTTTTCTAACACTTTGGAACTAAAACAGTCAGTACACACTTGCCACCCTGTAGGCTGCCATGCTTCTGCAGCCTCTGGACCCATCTACTAGCCTTAGAGAGCTAGTAGGCAGACATTACCTGTAGGTTGTCCACAACTAGTACTCCGTTGTGACTCAGGTCCAGGTACTCAATCTTTGGGATCAGTTTCTTAGGAAAGAAAAGAATATCCAGTGTTACTCAAGGGGGCAGAAATCGAAAGGAATCCACTATTTGGACAGAACAACTGGCTTAAATAATACAAACGGTAGTGTCCCCAAAAGATAAGAGACCTGTTCTTTTTTAACTCTGCCCCCCCACCACCACCACAGGAAAACAAAATGAATCACACTCCAAAGACACAGGTATACCTATATTCTAGGCAATGAGTTTTCTGCTATTCTATCATTTACCATGGTTTGGTTATATTAAATGCATACATGGTTTTATGTATTAACTCACCATTTTAAAACATTTTCATTTTTAAATTTAACTTAGAAACTACAAACAATGTGTAGAGCACTGAATAGATTTTTTTTTTTTTTTTTTTTTTTTGTGAGCCTTCAGAAAAAGTAAAACATAATAGTCATTCCTAGGGTCTGGGAGGTCTGGAGGAAGCCTTGGGAGGCTGTTGCAAGCATACCACAGATTCGTCGATCTCAGAGATGCTGTTGTGGCTTAGGTCTAGAGTGGTCAATGCTTGCCATGTAGGGATAACAGCAGTCACAGGGCCTTCAAGGGTTGCGCCTTCAGGCTCCCACTCATCAAATTCTGATGCTTCAGGAACAAGGACTTCCTGCATAAGAACATCTGTTAAGCCCTCACGCAACACTCAGTAGAACGAGCTATCGTTGCAAAATTTAAGGAAGAGCTGGAGCATATTTAGCATGTGGAAATGAGCTTGCATTAAAAAGGGCTTTGGTTTATGTGTCTTAAAGTGATTGTGAAATAACTGAAAGGCTTAGTATATGTTCTGGTCCTGTGACTTCAGGAACAAATGCTAGTCAAACCCCCTGGACCTCTGCTAGACAGTGATATCTTTCCTGGCTTAACCTTCAAAGTCTGAAAGTCTGAATTCATGATGTTGCCAGGCAACCGTGCTTTCAGAGTGGTCTCCACTGTGGACATCAGATCCCTTAATCATAACTTCACAGGGAAAGAATCATTACCAAAACAGGAGCAGCAGCACAGAGCATCAATCACCACAGGAGAGGGAGGCAGTTCTTGGTTTGAATTTTGATGCCTACAAGACATCTTCTTATATGGGATTATGCCAAGTTCCTCCAGGAGTACTTCCTGGAGGACAAGGTAGCTGAAAAGTTTCTGTACCCAATAAGCCTCTCTGCCAGAGCAGTCATCCAAATCAGACCAAATCAAACCAAATTAGAAAAAGTCTACTTTAATGGGTAAAACACTCCCAGATGATTTTCTGACCTCCCCACCCGCCCAGAGATCTGTGGGTATGGTCTTGAGCATCTCTGGTGGAGGAGCCCTGTTAGGTGGGCTTTTTGGAATGGGGTGGGATTTGGGGAGAGAGATGGGGAAAGGTATTGTTCCAGATTCTTTGCATATATGGATGCCAGGGTTAAGGTGGAACTTCCACCAGAAAGTAGACAGCTACATTCTGCTCTCTCCACAGCGTCTTCCAGTCAGCAGCCTTAAGGTAAAGAATTTTCAACAAACCCAAATCTCCACAAAATATGCAACTATATACTAAGGGAGGATTTCAGCATGATAGACACCCACATAATGGTAAAAGAAACTCCCTACATTATCAGCTGGGCCCAGCCCTTCTGCACCTCACCTTCCTCTTCAAGTGAGATGAGATACAAGTGAGTGCTAAGGTGGCAGGTGCCTGCTGGGCTTAGAGGAAGCTCCATCAGCTTCACTAACGAAGGCTATGCTCCACAGGCCAGGCCCAGCACAAACACAATGGTAGAGCTCACCTTCATAGATGTTGCTGAGAATGTGACACTCATTGTAGCTAAAGTTGGCTTGGAGGTGACCAGCCCCCGGATATGCTTAGCATCACAATGACTTATCTGGAACAAACAACAGCTGTGTCTTAGAAATGGCATCTTGGCCCCTCATAACCTCAGGAACTAGATGTTCAATCCACAGGCAAGCTCAAATCCCTAGACAAGAGATGACTCAAAACTTGGCCTCTTTTATTCCCCAGTGCTACTCAGTGCTGAAAAACATTTTAAACATATAGTAAGAAAAGCATCTAGCCAGGCATGGTGGTGCACAGTTAATCCCAGCACTCAAGAGGCAGAGGTAGGCAGATCTCTGTGAGTTCAAGGCCAGCCTGGTCTACATAGTGAGACCCTGTCTCAAAAATAGACTCTTAGGCTCATTTTGAGCCACAAATTCCATTTTCATAGTTAATGGATACCTGGGGCTTGCCAAGTAGATAGAAAAGGTAGGACAGGGAGTCAGCACTGGACAACAAGGGATGTTTCCTCTGCAGGACACGGAGTATTTCTCCTGCTTGTCTAGCCTGCCCACTGTGCTCCAGCTTCTGGAATTCAGCCAATTTCAACACCCTGGACTAGCTTCCTCATCCTCCCAAGCCTCAGTTTCCTCCAATGTAAACTGAGAACGAAAGTGTCCAAACTTCACAGAGAAGCTGGGGAGATTCAATCAAGAATTCATAGGCACTGGATAGAGTTGAAGACAAAAGCCAGGTCCAGGAAACACATGGCTTTATTGCATAAAAAACATCTTTTATTGTTCATTACCGACTCTCCTTTCTTTTTAAAAATGACAACAAAATTAGTGTTAAGAACCAGAATTCAGCAGGAAGTAATAGAGAACACTTCTTGTTAGGTGTGGGTGCCCTAGATGGCAAAGAGCCTTCAACGCTTTTAGACTTAGAAAACAAAGACTTGGCCTTTAGGATGATTTCTGTGACCTCTACCTGAATAACAGAGGGAACTAGGCTCGGGCAATCTGCTCTCTCATACTTCTTGCTGCCTACAACAGAGATGGAGAACTGCAAACCAGTTAAGGGCAGAAAAGGCCCTTTCTATCCTCCTCCCTTTCTGACTTGATTTACTTGGATAGAATCTGCCAACATATCATCAAATATGAAAGCAACAGTACCTTACCACTTGCTACCACAACCATTCCCTGCATACAGACAACAGTGCAGATGCCACTGTGTAGGGCTCAGCTCTACCTGATCACTAGAAGCCCTGGGCCTTACCTCCACCTGATGAAGAGACTTGAATATAGAAAGATCAAAGGGGAGGAGCTGCTCCTGAATGTTGCTGGTCCCAAAAGGTCCTTCTGTGCCAGAAACCTGAGGCCAAAGATGGACTTAAATTAGGGATGCTGTAGTAACCACTCCCGTTATGTACTCTTGGGTGAATGTGGACACTTCAAAGGGATTCAGCCAATGAGCCATGATGCCCCCTGGTGCTCAAAGGCAGAAGCACAGTATCAAGAACACCAGGAGGCTTCATCCACTGACAGGCCCCAGCTGTCCTTCACAAGCTGTGGCAGCTGAGCATCAGCATTAGAGCCAACTGAGACTCCACAATGACACTGCTGCATCTTTACCTTAAGGTACTTAAGGCGGCAGGTGAAGTCTAGGATGTGTCCAAGGTCAGTCTTGGCGTCGCCGCTGGCACAAGTAGGCTTTCCTTGTTGCAGCTGCTCAGTGACAGCATAGAGCTGTAAGGGCCTGATGGCAAAGACCTCACCGGCTCCCAGAAGCTGTTCTCCTGTAACAGCCAGACACAAGGGTGAGTGTCCAGCCTCAATCTCAGACAAGAAATAGAAGCACCAAGCTAAGAGTCGATAAGCATGCATGCAGCAAGCACCTGTGACAGGCACCCACTCCACCCACCATGCAAAGCTAGTCTCAGTTACACAGGAGCAGCCCTTCAGAGCTCACACTGGACACAGGACCATCCTCAAGTGTGAGGCGAAGTAGAGATCTAAGGCACTGAGTCAAGAGAAGGCTGGGAGAAGCAGTACTCTAGGTGTCACAACTACTCTGCACCCTCTAATATGCAGAGACTAAAGTCAATCAATTATAGACCTAAGATGCCAGTGCTCAGACCTTAAATTGCTCCTTCTAGCATGTTTCTTAGCCTCTGACCACTAGTGTTCTTACTTTTACCTCACAGAAGGCAGTAAGATACTAAATGTAAGACTGCTGGCAGGGAGTCCTCATTCCACTACTGTTAATTGTTAATATGACCATGACCCAAGATTGGCTTCTAATTACAATATGAACACTTCCAAGCATGGACAAATCAGGTACAAGATGGCAGCATGCCAGCCACCTTTCAACACCCCATGTGGCTTGGGAATGGATCCTGAGACTTAGGTGAGTCCCAGGCACTCACCTTACACAAGCCTGGCTACCTGAGTTTCATCCCCAGAACCTACATAAAGGTGGAAGGAGAGAGCTGACTCTATCAAGTTGTCCTCTGATCCCCACATGTGTGCTGAGACACATGTGCCCACATACACATACCCCACAATAAAACTACAATAAAGAATCTTAAGCATGAAGGATCCTCACCTGGTAAGAGTGAGTAGATGGGTAGATTTGGCTGGGGACATGGGCCAGGGACTTAACACACTCAAGGAGGTGGGACCTGGCTAGGACCTAACAGATGAGTTCAGTGCCATCCTGGGCCTACAGTTCCCTACCAGACTAAGCAGATGGTCCTCAGCATTGCAAGAGCCAACAGTTATGTACCTTTTTCAAAGAGCTCTTCAGCTAGCGCCGCAGTGACACCATTTATTTCCTGTGGAGTGAACGAACCCGACAGTTAGAAGTTCGCCTGCCCCATCGCCGGGACCACACACTCATTGCTTTCTGCTCACTTTGCCCCTGCAGTACCAACTCTAGACGCAGGAATGCCCAATCTTTCAACACTGCAATAAGACACTGTCACCTACAACATTTATGCTTGAGAACCCACAATCAAATAAAAACAATACAATCACAAGAAACATCTCATAATGTCTTAAGTAAGTTTCCTGTTTTGTGTTGGGTTGCATCCATAGCTATCCTAGGCCACACATGGCCTGTGGGTAGCAAGTAGGACACAGCTTAAGATGGTGAACAACTAAAGAAGAGAGAAAACCTAGAATGAAGCAGGAGCTTAAAAAGGGAACTGTGTTTCCAGATATATGGAGATATGAACAGTTTCCTCAAAAGCAACTCCAGGTTGAGTGTACTGCGTGCAGCTCAGGAGCCAGCAAAGCTTGACTTGTGCCAATGGCTGACTGGAGAGCCAGAAGCTCCCTAAACTGGCACCCAGGAGAGGGTGTGGCAGAGAAGAAATCCTGTTTCTTTTGGAAAAGAGACCCCGATTATCCAGGTAGAGTACATGACTCTGTGGTACCAACTTTCCCTAGCAATGACTATTCTCTCCTGTCAAATGTTTCCTCAAAGGGTAGACACTAAGCTGGTTGTGGTGGTACACACCTTTAATCCCAGCGCTGGGGAAGTAGAGGTAGCCTGATCTCTGTCGAGTTTAAGGCCAGCCTGGTCTACAGAGTGAGTGCCAGGACAGCTAGGTTTGTTACACAGAGAGACTCTGCCTCAAAAAACCAAAAGAGAGAAAGAAAGAGTGATGGAGAGAGAAAAGAGTAAGTGGATATTTGTCATTTTCCTGGGCTCATTCCTTCCAGATCATAGCAGTACCATTCAAAGCCCAGGGTCACTATAAAGATGCAGCAAGGGTTTTTTCAAATGACACAGAGAGGCATGGCAAGAACCCGTCCTCACGGTAACAGCTAGCATGTTGTTTAAGTCATATCAGACAATGGCTAAGTCCTCAACAGGTCCTGGCTCACTGACTTCTCCCTACAAGAGGAAACCGTTAGCTTATACCATGTTACCCAGATCAGCAAACACAGGTGGACGGAGAGCTTTAGGGACACTCCGGTTTTAGGTGGCTATAGACCAGCAAAGCTACACTCATGCACTTGGTCTAGGTCCTCTCTGAACATAAGCAACTGCCTCTGTACTCAAAATAATCACAGGGCCCCAGAGAGATGACTCAGTGGTTACGAACACTTCTTACTCTTCCAGGAGACTTAGGTTTGGACTCACATGGTGGCTCACAATCACTGGTAACTCCCCACTTTCAGGGAATTTAACCTCAGGCACCAGGCACAGACATGGTACATGTACATACATGTTAGCAAAACACTCAAACACATAAAATACTAAAAATCTAAAAAAATAAAATAAACAAAACAATCGTGGTTTGGAGATCCCCACCAAACCTTTAGCTCTACCTCCCACAGGTAAGAAATTAAAATGACTGATAGCAGTCCACATGTCTTTTTGTAAACAAGTCCAGATGGAGGCTTCAAATAACCCTTCGCAATTCACAGGAACCCTACTGCCACTAGGACATGCAATTTACGTATTTATAGGACTTAAAAAGCACCAGGTTGAGGGGACAGGGTGTTCTTTTCCTGTTTTTCTCGTTAGTTGTTTGTCTCTTCTCTCCTATAATCTTTTATACATCATAGCTACTCCCCTCAAATGCCGGGAACTGAATCTGGGGCCCCTATCACTTAACTACAGCAACCAGCCCTTTTTTTTTTTTTTTTTTTTTTTTTTTTTGTTTTTTGTTTTTTGTTTTTTGTTTTGAGATAGAATCTCTTAAGTTACATGGGTGGTTTCAAATTCCGAATCCTTCTACCTCAGCCTCCCAAGTAGTTGGAGTAGATATGAGCCCTTCACCCACTCATGACAGCAATTTTAGTAGTTGTGTATATGCAGTAAGCATGTCTTCCCAGCCTATACTTTAGTCCTTTGTTCGGATGGTTTTCATAACATAATGAGGTTTTTCACTTTTATGTTTAACTTATAATTTCTTCCTTTATGACTGAGATCTCTTCTGTGAGTCCAAGACTGTAAGACTGTTATCCCAGTTTCCTCCTGACCCTATCATCTTTAAAAACTGTGTTGATATGATTTGGTTTGGTTTATATGTAATGTAAGAATTGCTCCTCTCCTACCTACCCCTCAGTGTACAAAAAGCCCAAGAGAGAAGATAAGCCACTGTACCCCAGCATTTGGGTACAGGTCAAAATGTAAAAGGTTAACAGAGGGTTCCAGCCAGCAGAAGCTACAGCTTCTCTGAAGCTTTACAGTCTCTTTCAACCTCCTAGGCCCCATTAGTTTCCCCTGGCAGCTGTGAGGATCTGCAGTCAATGCAAAGCGTGGATCAGCCTACAAACAAGTCTTCTTTCCTATCTTCCTACAGCCAGACCATCTAGTGCTGAGGTCCCAGGGGCTGCCAGTCTACATTTACTTCAATGCCCCAGGCCTCTCAGGCACTGGACAGGCACAAGAAGCCCATTAGAGGGCTCTTGAGAAAAAGGGCTGCCTGCCCTGTTCTCAGTGCCAGGCAGGCCTCACCTTCCATGATCCATTTCCTTGGGCAACTGGTGTTGATTCAGACAGAGTAATGCTGGATGACAGCCCTGCTAAGGGTCAGGGCTATGTCTCTCAGAAGACTCTGTCAGGGGCCAAGAGCAGTGCTGTAACTTCTGAGGAATCTCAAAAGCAAACTGTAACAATCTCTCTCCACTCTGGGCACAGGAAGAGCACACTGCTGGCCTTCCTACTTGGTTTCCTCAGGCTGACCTTCATCTTAAGAGAGAGCCTGAACCAGAGGAATGCAGAAATTCCTCAGCCTGCAAACCTAGAACACTAGTTTCCTCTGATCAAACCACTTGTTTGTGAAAGGGTACAGAGACAGGCCTCTGCCTGCTCCAGGAAGAAACAGGGCAGGGAACTACTGCCTCTCATGTAAGGTAACCTGTGGGAACTGGTAGCTCTCTACATGCCATATTGTATTTGTGCTGAGGGACCTGAAGTGCTTTAGGGTGACATAAACTGTAAAATAACATTCACTATTAGATGTATTATAGACTTAATCAGTCATGCCACTGCTGACCAGGATCATGTACTGTACTCTCTTGGGAAAAAGGTGTTTCCTCTCTTACCCTCCCTATCTTGTGGTGGCATTTTGTTTATGATCTACCAAATAAAACTTGCCTGAAGATCAGAGTGCAAAGCTAGCCACACTAGTTAGCCACGGAGGCCAGGCAGTGGTGGCACATGCCTTTAATCCCAGCACTAGAGAGGACTGTAAGGCTGGAGGAGACAGAGACCATAGCAGTCTAGGAAGTCTGAGGAGCAGTGAGTGCAGTCTGGAGATGCAGTCTGAGGACAGGATCGCCCCTTTGGTCTAAGCATTGGTAGAGGTGAGAACTCTCTAGTGGCTGGCTGCTTTGCTTCTTTTTTCTTCAGCTTTAACCCCAGTATCTGTCTCTGGGTTTTTATTATTAAGACCAACTAGAATTCATGCTACATTCTCTCATTTTTAAAAATCTGTTGTGCTGGGAAAGAATCCAGGCCCTTTCCCAGTCTACATAAGCAATTTACCTTAGTTACACCTCCTCTTTGGGCTTCACATCAACACCACATGGACTAGTTAGGCTACTTATATTTTTGGCCTGCCTACTTCCAGAACCCAGCTATAAGTGTACCCCTAAATACATATGCTGATGCTCAATTAGAAATCCCTTGCCAGCTCCTGACACCTCTGCTTGGCTCATGTTAAAGCAGGGTCTGTCAGTGGGCATTAACCAGAGATTAATTACATGCTACTGAGGCCATCACCAGGTATGATCTGGATACACACCATGGGTTGAGGGCCCTTGTCTAGCTTTTATTTTGTGCCAGCAGTAGTCAGGCATATTATATGCGATTCAACTTCAAGCAAAAATTCCCCACTGAAGGATTCACATATAAACTTTAAAGACCTTCAAGACTGTAAGTTGAAAAGCAAATGCACCAAACAGGCTTATCATCACTCACAACCTCAGCCCTCTGAAACTAAAATAATAAAATGGATCTAAAGCCAACACTAAGATAGTCCACAACTTCATTTCAAATTAAAAATATTTTGATTACAGCCAAGTGGGTTTAAAATAAGGAAACGATACAAACATTTCCTCTGAAGGAATAGGACTGAGTATCTTTCCCTCCTGGAGCAGCCCACTGTGGTGACATGTGTTGAGCTGAACCACCCCTCTTCAGAGCCTCAGACATTCACTGCACACTCTCATGCAGGTTTCAAAAGGGCCCCAGATTATCACCCTCCAGTTCACAAAATGGAACAGGGCACAGAAAAATTACATGACTGACTTGGAATTAGCTGGTTGAAATGAGCAGTCTCAGACAGGCTTGGCTCTGTCTATTTCCAAGGCCACTCTAAAGTGACCTACTTCAGAACGGTTCTACTTATGATAATCCATCGCACTGCATTCTACTGAATGTGAAAACTTCTCTAGACATCCTGGGATGGGGTTCATGGCCGTGAGTCTAGGAAGCTAAGAATGCAGCTATCCAGTGGAGTATGAAACAAAGGCTGTCCCTTCCCCTAAGTCCCCATTTCTGAGTTGGCTGGGAAGAGAAATGACAACTTTTTCCCTTGTCATTGAAATCCAAAAGATGAAAGATCAAACTAGAGGGCTGGAGATGGCACAGAGGTTAAAAGCACTGGCTGCTCTTTCAGATATCCTGAGTTCAACTCCTAGCAACCACATGGTGGCTCACAATCATCTCTAATGAGATCTGATGCCCTTTTCTGGCCTGCAGGGATACATGCAGGCAGAATGTTGTATATATAAAATCAAACTGGACCCCTACTTTTTACCATAAACAAAGATGAACTCAAAACGGGTCAAAGTCCTAAATGTAAGACAAAAC